ATTCATGAATGACATCGGAAAGAATGTTACTTTACGGCCAATGGACGGTGTTCGTTATTTTTAGAATATCGGAAGTTTCTATACTTCAAAGAATAATAATACTGCCAACTACAACGTGTCCGAATACTTTATAAACTCTAGTGTATTCGATTTATAATACGATTCCAATATGTAGACTCTATCTCTTCCTAAATTTATCGTGTGAGGGCTGAACTGCGAAACCCATCTACGTTACAGAGTCTACAATTAAATTAAATTAATAGGACAAACATTTAAAAATCTATAAAGCCTCATATCAGAGCGGCATTCTTAAGCGTGTTATCTTCTGTTTTTGCTATTTATAACTAGCTGAGGGTGACCAAATCATGAACTGGAAAAAAACGGGACACATCCTACCAGGGTTTGGGGGGATAACCTCCAAACAGAGGCGTAGCGAAGGGGGGATGGGGGCAGATGTGCTTTTATATTATTTTATTGATGAAAATAATGGGTTTGAGAGTTGGAAAAAAGAAATGAGAGCGCTTTAAAATGAATCTTGTCCCTGGGCGCAAATCTCGTCCCCGAGCCTCTGCTTCCAGCTAAAGAGGAGTCCGGGGGCCTCCGCCAAAAACTTTTTTTCTTTAAAAGATGTTCATTTTAACTATTTTGAGACTTTGAAATCTTATAAAATTTACCTTCCCTTTTTAATTAAAAAAATTTTTTTTTTTGGTTTTAAAAACGGGACATTTAGGCGCCCCGAGAGACTTTTTCGGAACACCAGGTACGATCGTGAAAAAATGGGGCGTTTGGTCACCCTAAACTAGCTGCATGTCCAGGGCCAAAAATACTTAGGGTTAGGTGAGCAACAGACCTCTGGCTCCCATATGTTCCTGGGCCCCGGACCAGGACATAAGGGACCGCCAGCAATCATCACATGCTTTTAACAAGCAGTAGGCCTATTAGTTGAGCCTTTTTAAAACACACAAACCATAAAGTTGTAGTTGGACAAAATCTTGCTCTGTTGTTTTGTTTTTTCCATTTTATTTTGACACGATAATATTTGACGTAGACCCCATAGTTGGCTCAATGATAAAGTTATATGTACCTCTATGGCAGTGGTCAGCAAATCGCGGCTCGTGAGCCGCATTTTAGCGACTTGGGTACGGCTCGGCCAGTCGGCCACAAATCGATTTTGACTCCGAAAGCTGATGAGTTTGCCGACCACTGCACTAGGGCAATAGGCCTACACTTCCATGGAAAAGACATGATCATAACTAAAGCTAAAGCCCCCTCTTTGAGATGTGAATAAGGCCAGGGGTGTCACTAAGACTATGGGTTGTGGGCCCGGATCCCTTTTAGTTTTAGACTAAATGCTATTCGGAAGTCATTTGTGATAGTTTATTTTAGTTAAACTGAAGAAGTAAGTTTCAAAACATTAAATTATCTTTCATTTGATACCTAATTTTGTCTTACAAACCCAACAATAAAATTTTAAATAGTTTTTTTTTTATTTTTGATCCCTACCTCTCACTTCTGGTACCCGAATACGAATAGCCACTTCGAACTATAAATGCCGAACTTCGATTCCAGTTCTGTTCAAATTAAATCCGAATACAAGATTAATATTTCTCGACACGGTTACAAAGATATTTTTGCCAACCAATCAGAGGACAAATTGTAACAGTTCCACCATGTTTGATGTTACCGTAATACACATAACAGATTCCGATCGCTTGTTGGCTTAGTGGACGTACGAATTAAAAGATAGAGCTACCGCATCACCAACCTGCCCCCATGTCGTGATGAGGGGCATAGAGCTTTTCCTGCTCTGGATTAACGTTATTCAATTTGGAAGCTGCAACTATGCAGACATTTTGTGGGGACAGTGTTACGCATTTTGTCTCAATCGTTCTGAGATTCGAAGCAATGTGAAGGTACTCGTGTCGTACTGAAGTGTGGTACAATAAAATTTACAGAATTCAAAATGTCTTTATCATCATGATTATAATTATGCCGTATATTTTCTATACTACATAGTCTACATAGTCTATACTACTCTGTGTAGATTTAACCATTCATTATAAAGTAATAATACCTACAACTACAAAAGACAAATTCAAATTTTGTTTGTTTTTGAAAGTGAAAGTGATAAAATAAAGAGACTGAGACAAGTAAAGTTAAGGACGGGACTAACCAAGTTTAACCATTATTGTTATACTGAAAAACTGTTAACCATGATTGTTATACTGTAGACAGTCTGTAGTCTGTTGTTGTAGGACTATCATTTATATTAATGTATAAAGATTGATAAAGGAACTTTATTATAAAATAAGGCCTACAGTCTACAGTGATTGATATGGTACAGGCACAGGATTCAGTGGTCATGGTGCCTATACACCTACCTGCTACTACTACTGTTTATAGTAATATTAATAGTAATGTCATCCTCATTTCCTTTTTAAGTGAGAAGTGCATAATGATAATTAATAATGGTAGTTAATTATTTCTCTTTGTTAATAGTATAGTATAGCCAATCAATATCAATAGGCCGAAAATAAGAATAATTATCATAAATAAATGGTAGGCTACCCAATATATTTGAAGAGTTTTTTTAAATAATAAATATTAAAATTAAGAGGCATGAAGAAAAAGTAGGGTACATGGAATGTAATTGTGGTAATTGCAAAGAATGGATGCCATGATTTTTCCCATGAGCACCATCTTGGACGGTTGACACGACCAGTTAATTCTTTCACTAAACCTAACTTAATGTATCCCTAAACCTAACCTGAACTCTAAATGTATCCCTAAACCTAACCTGAACCTTAAATGTATCCCTAAACCCAACCTGAACCCTCATTCTCGGCAACTTAAATAAACATGCAAAGAAGTCATGGCATCCATTCTTTGCTTTACCCTTAATTTTAATTCCACCTTAGATTGGTTCTCAGGCACCCACAGTTAGACCTTTGCTTTGACTTGAGAGAACCCTGATTACAAGTGTCATTTTAATAGCTGGTTCATTGAACTCAACACAAAATTAGGTATCATTTCTGTAAAAACAGTGAGAACCTAGTGAATCCTACATCTGATCAATCTGAATGTATAACCTACTAATTAAGACTATAGAGTAGCCTAATATAGCATACTCTAAGTAAAGTAGCTTGATTGAAATAATATTAGAATAAGCCATTCTTAAAAAACACACTTCTTTTTTGATTAAGCATTTTTTAGTCCAGCTTTCAAGAAAAAGTTTTAAATGCTTGAAATTTTTGGAATGTCAAACATTTTTGAAAATGCATTGAAATAAAAGACACTATTAAAAAAAAAATAATTTTACTGATAGTCCGATGTAAATTTATAAAGACCTATTTATCATAATGAATCGTTTCCACAAAAAATAGTGTTTGTAGTATGGGAGTTTCTCACAATGAGTGATTCAAAAGTATGATTCAAACATTTTTTTAAAACATGAAATATGTGCACAAATATAGCAATAAAACAAAGTTACACGCTAACACTTATAAATAATTTATAATTATTCTATAATTAAAAAAAAAAATTTAGCTCCATGTGGAATTAAAAAATTATGAGAATATTGGAAATAACTAAATTGAGATTATGGAATAAATAAATTTCTAGTCTTAGATTAGATGGGGGATTAAACTTAAAGCAAATTAAAATCATGTTTATTATTTATCCTGAGCTCTAGATAAAAGTTATTACACATTCTTTTAAGACTTATTCCAATATCACATGTCTTTATATTTTTCTTCTTTTCTTAGGTCGATGTGGCTATTCCATCAGATAAAATACTTCGAGCATGTAGGAAACATAACATTTGCAAATGGGTGTGTATAGAAGCTTATTCATTCTGTTCACTTGTGTTATAATTTAATCAACAATTTTTAAACAGTTATTTAATTCTGAACATACACCATAAAATTTTGGCTCCTTCCCAACCTTTATCAACTTAATAACCATTGGTCCCCAACAAACTTGCACTTTATTTCAAAGAGAAGCTGGCTTCCTAGATATAAAAAATATACAGAAAAGATGCCCAAAAACCATATCCGGAAATTTGTTTGAAAGAAATTTCATAGACGGAAAATTGATCTACGGAAATTTGATCGAACTGAAATTTGGTCAAATCTTTTTTTCAGTTCACACCTTAAAATTTTGTGTCATATTTTTCTTTTAACACATTATTTTGTTAAACTATAAAGTATAGTGCGTTAAAAAAAAAATTTGATGAAAATTTTAACATATGAACTGAAAAAAAGATTCGATCAAATTTCTGTCGATGAAATTTCTTTCAAACAAATTTCCGGTAACCCTCAAAAACAGATGTGGGTAAATGGTAGAGCCCCTTGATTGTATTTAAAAAATAGACAAAGTTAATATATAATTAGTTTAATTTTTGTGACATTCAAAAGAATTATCAACCTCATTTATTATCTTAATTTGTACAAATGACAGCTTGTTTTCAAAATAAAAGTGAACTTAGTGGATCAAGTTTAACAAGTGTAATCTATTTGTGTGAAAATTGAGTTCATTATTTAGTAAATTTATATTTTTATTACTTTAAACTTGCTTATGAAGAAAAGTTATCAATAGTTTAAGAAAACTTTGGCAGTATGAGAAGTGATAATTGTGGCATGTTATGTTAAAATGTCCAATTTAATTAAGTTTTAATTTTAATGTTTATATTAAATTGTTTATTTGAGGCCAGTGATATTGGGTAATATTCAAATAGAAACACGTGATAAGAATATTTTGGTTTTTAAAAAGTGTTTAAAAATGCCTGTACCTTTTTTTTTGGTTTGCTATCTGTAATGAAACAGTACATAGGAAGTGGCTTAAGTATAAGTAACAAATAAGTGCAGTAAGATTCCTTTTTTTAAATATTACATAGATAAAACATTTAAACTCTGAGAGCTTGGGTTATTAATTTATAAAAATACATCATCATTTTATTCAAACTAATATTTTCAAAAATTTTAAAAACTTTTCTTCATCAGTGTCTTTATGCTTGTGATCGACCTTTAAGTGATTATATCCATCATAATGATTGCTTGAGTGATTGCAATGTGAGTAATTTATATACTTTCAACTGATAAAATTATTAAATTTTTGAAATTTTTTCTTAGAAATGATCATGTTATAATTAAAAATACATTTTTATTTTGGAATCAAATTAAAATATGCATAGCCTTTTTTTTTTCTTATTTAAATTTTTCAAAGAAATATTTTCAAAAAACCAACTCAGGGTTATTTATTGTCTGCAACTATTTCAAGTTTCATGTAGTATATACTGAATAAAAAAGCTTTTAAAAAATATATTGTTTTATACACTTATAAAGAACTATTTAACTTGTTAAAAATCATGTTCATTATTTTATTTTGTTCAATAGCATGAAAGAAACAAAAACAATATAAATGCTAGACATGCATGCAGTGAAAGTTGTGATGTTATTTCATCTTTGCTGAAACAAAAATATGGCAGTTGCCCAGCTCCAAATGATATAAGAGGTTTTAAATCTGCATGTGTACAAGAGTGTGCTAATGATTTAAATTGTGATGGGCTGCACAAGTGTTGTGATAATGGGTGTGGACAAGTTTGCCACAAGCCTGTAGCATATCATGGTAATTTTTTTTTTATCATTCTGCAAAGATTTTTTATTTTGTGAATTATAAAATGTTCTTTTATTTGTTTCAATAATTCAATCAATGTAAACTTTTCAGAGTATTAACTGGGTTGTGCATACATTTTCATTGTAAAATTAATAAGTCACAGTAAATATTATTTATTCAATTTAAAGAAAATAAACTATTATCCAGAGCTAATTTATTTATTTTCTTCCCTAGTTATTCCAGCTGTTCCAACTGATGTGCAAATCACTGAGAAAAATGATGATGGAATGATTGTTACTTGGAACACAACAAAAAGTTCATCTGCGCTTCCACCAATTGTTTATATCTTGAGATGGTGGTGTATGCACGGTACTCCTGTGGTTGTCCAATATAAGTTTGTAAGTATTTTAAAACTACTATTTTAGATATCTGAAAATATTTAGGATTTAACATTAAAATAATGATAAATCCATACATAAAATGTTTTGTTTAAGTAAAAAATTATTCCTCTCTCCTGTGATATTTTTTCTCATAAAGTTTTTCACTTTAGAAGACAAATTAACATGCAGGATAAGAAATAAATTAAATCAAATTTTTTTACAATTTTATCTACAGACAACTAACAAAAGGGCAAAACTAAAAGGCCATCCCTTAATTCAACCTGAATCAAAATGTAATTTTATGGTTGCTGCGATAAATATTCATGGATCAGAGGGATTCACCAAGGTCAAGGCATATACAAAAGGTCAGCTCCGCAACAGCAGGAGGCTAGCAATGACTACACTAATATTGAACTTTAGATGCATGATATTAGATTATATCATAATTTTATTTCTAATTTTTTTTCGGGGGGGATTTATTTATGTAAATCCTATTTTTTTTACACGTTAAAGTCAATTTTATTGAATCTTGAAGGATTTCTCAAGCCATCCCAACCTTTAAATCTGGAACATGTGAGAACCAAGCTACAAGATGGCAAGGCTGAAATAACAATTAGATGGCTGCCTCCACAGCATACAGATGGGCTCCCAGTTACTAGATACAAGGTAAAAACCTTAATAAACTGTTCAATTATACGGCTACTTTCAGTTGCCAATTTTCAGCCATGTCATTAATTTTTTTAGCTGATAAACTTACTGTAGATTATGAGTTGAGAAAATAGGTCATCAAAATATTGATAAACATTGTTTGAATTACAAAATTTCATAACAACAGACAGCAGTATTACTTGGTGCCTGCGTATTGATTTCTCTTAGAATTATTCGGCCACCTTTTTCAAATTCAGTCACCTTTCAGGACCACTTGCATATTAGCAAAAATAAAACTCAGTTATGAATAATTTTTTCCTCTATTGAAAGACCCATTTAAAAAACTGCTGCCTTACATGGGTTCTTTTCCTACTGAAAACACTGGTAGTAGCTGGAGCTGTGACTCATTGACAAATATACATGCCCCTTTGAGAAACACAAGTTTCATTTCTGTATATTTTGCGTATACTGTATTTATGTTTACGCAAATTGATACTTTTAATTTGAAGAAGTATAATGTTTGAACTTTGGGCAAAGTAACTCTTTTCCAATAAATATTAATTGTTACAATAGATATCATGGAGTGATGGCCTTCCCCGTGGATCAAAAAGCTATGTTCGAGTACAAATGCATGAGAAAACTATACCTGGTGACAGAAATAGCTATGTCATTCCAAAACTTCAGTGGTGCACACTCTATTTCATACAGGTAAATATCTCTACAACTCCCTAAAAAACCTTGTTAAGCCAGCTTGCCAAAAATATTTTTTAAAGGATTTTTATAAAATGTTAAAGATTAATGTATCCATGAATGTAAAATAAGTATAACCAGAAAATTAAAATGCACTAGACTCAGTTTTTGCACTGCCCTCACACATTTTAGAGATTGAAGAAAAAGCAAGATAAAATCTTGTTTCTTAATACTGAAATCAAGAATATCTCTTTTAACTTGTTGCCAGTGGACAACAAATAAAATAGGTTTTCTGGACGCATATGACCGCATGGGAGGGGGGGGGGGGTGTCCGGCAGTAAGAAGCATTTTTGTTGAAACCGTTGGGAATAGGCTAAAGCCATAACTGATCTAATACCTCTTTTCCCTTGACATAGCAGAAATTAATTGTTAAAAAGAAGTGTACATAGTTTGAAGGAAATCCTTAACCAAATCCAGTGACAAAATTTCTGGCAATGGCTAAGCCATTTTAATACTTCAGTAATAAAATAACTTATTGGAATTGAGTGTTGGATTTAGAGCATTTATTTTCCAGGTGCAAGCTGAGGTGAAATGGATTGAGAAATCTCTTTTTGGAAAATCAGCATTTATACACACAGAAGCATGTCATGGTCCCCAGCCTGCAAAGGAAATTGGTTAGTTTTTTTTAATGTTCTCTATTTTATCTTTTTATTTTTCAAATCTATACTTTCTACTTTGTGGTGATGGCATTCTTTTAAAATTGCAACTACTGAGCATTTTTTGAGGTTGATAAAATTTTATAGTCAGTGATTGTATGTAAATTTTTTTATTCCTTGGATTTTATTGCTTTAATAGTATTATTTGGATGTATCGCAATGTTTAAAAAATATTTGTGGAAACTTCTAAAAAGTGCACAGTTTGTTAAAATGCACTCAAAAATCTTTTTAAGTAATTGTTAGCATATGTCATATCATCATTTAATCAGTGAGGTTGCTGGATAATTTTATGGAGATTGCCAACTTGCAACATCCCATCTTCTTAGACAGTTATTTACGGTCACAAATGACCCAATCATTGAACCCATGGATTGATTTCATGGAAAGCTGTGTTCAAGAAAATCAGTTTGATAGAGATGCATGTGCTCTTTTGTTTCAAATTTCAACAGTTGCAAACAGCTGTTGTGAAGCTTTTTTTTAAAAATCTTTCAGAAATGGAGAGTATCTCTCCTGTTGACTTTCAACGATTCTCCATATACAATATTACTGTCCACACACCAGCCTTTGTAAACTCCAAGCTTACAGCCAATGTGACCTGGTTTATTTATCCGGGTGAGTATTACAGACCTGTTAACTCTTATGATTTTGGTGTACACTGTATAACTTTGAGAAATCTTTTACGATTGTATACCAGGACCTGTCAGAACTACAATTTTACAAAACTGGGTTAAAAAAATAAATTCTAGTGGTTTTTACTGTTTTAAAAAATATGTATTATTAATTAATAACAAATAAAACAACGTTTTGGGTTGTTAGTTTTAGCTCCTTTCTATAGCTAGTGGTGAATGGACAGAGAAATACGATTGGCTGGGCACCATCCATTATTATATTACTTACACACTGAGAGGGGGTAGTGTTTAGTTGGAAGCGTACGTGTGTGCATGGGAGGTATAAGGGGTCTAAACATTTTTTAAAGGTTATAATGTATCACGACTACGTTTGGCAATAATTGTCATATTGTTGCTTTGTCTTTTCACAATAAATTTGGTAGATACAGCAACAGTAATATTAATCGTATTCATCTAGAGACAAACATAGTAAAAATTATATTTGTTTGCTTCAGTGTTGTACGACATACTTTTGTGACATAATAATCTAATTTTTCGGCTGAACTTAGGCAATTGCAAAAAAAAATGGAAAAAACTACAGATTTAAAAAAAAGAACTGCATCTTCAACTGCACCACATAGCAGCGTTAGTTTTTTGAAATATTTTATGAGATCTAGTAAGCATCATTTGAAATCTATTTTTAGAAGTCATTAAGCAGCTGTACAATACCCCAGCCCTCCTCTTCCCTTATCCCAAGACCCCTTGCTGTAGTTATTAGACTGCAATATGTTAACGACAAATTAATTCAACCTCATAGACTTAAAGTAGGGGCGGGCTATTCACGACCAATGTTCCCTTTAAGCTGCACCGCCACGCAGCTATCTCACAGACGACACACAGCAGTTTTGAGTCCCACGCAGCAAATTTCGATGTAAGTGTGTGTTTCTGTTTGTGGCCTGTAAAATTTTGCACACAAAAAAATTGATGCTGTAAAACTTTGCACACAACTGTATGATTTTGCACACGAACCAACAGACCTTAGAGGGAACATTGTTCACGACCCGCCACATTAAATATTGTGGCCCGCCGGATGAATGACAAATGAACTTATTTCTTCATTCAATTTGCCATTATTTTCATTTTTGAAACAAATTAACATTTGAAATACATACGCATAACTTTTTGGAATGATATGCGCCATTTCTGCTTTCTTTGCACCTTTTTAGACCGATTTTAAAAAATAGTTTGAAATAAGTAACAAATTATGAAACAGTATTACTATTTATCAACTTCTAAAAATATAAAGTATCTATATAAACACAGCTAGGTAAGGGGACCTAATTTTCCATAAGCTTTACGATTGAGTGTAGAATAATGCAAAACCATATTCAGGTTTACACAAAAGTGCATCCCAGCATTTTGAATTTATGAAAGGGGCTTTCCACTTATGCCCAGGTGGCTTCAGCGGGCATCCTCAATTTCTATACCCCACCACATCATCATATATGAAAGTGACAAATGACAGGCACCTTTTTATTTTCAACAGTCATCAACTTTGAGAAGTGACCTTAATTTGGCATGCTCTAATGTTTATTAATTGTTACTTTACGATATTGTACGATTTTGAGATGGTAAAGTACCATTCTAAGACTATAAAGTACTATTTTTGGAGTTCCAGGGTAACCAGGTCGGGTATTGTAGTTACTTCCTTTAGGTTGTAGAATAATTGCCCCAAAAGTCATAATTATTATGAAATACTATCAGAATTTCCAAAAGTTTAAATGAAAAAAAATTATAATTTTTTAAAAATTTCAAAACGATTTGAAAACTAAATTAAAAGCAAGGCATTAATTAATGTGTTGCTGCTGTGTCCTACAGCATGAAAATGCAGGTTTTAAACAAGTGTTCTGCTTTACGTCACATGTAAAAATAGTAAAAATTATTGTTAATTCACTGATGCCCATTATATTTGCAGTTACATGTCAATTTAACCTTCTTCAAAAATTTCAAACAAATCACTTTGAATAAAAGTTAATTTTGTTAAATTTTTAAAAATCTCTTTAATGGCAGGTTCCAATGTAAAAAATGTGAAACTTTATTGGACACTGGATGTGTGTGAAGGAGAAGCTACGCACAGAAAGACAAAAGTCCGGTTAAAAAATGAAGCTTCTACAAATGTAAGCATATTATAGTTAACTATATCACACTCCTTATTATGAATGAAATGTTTTTTAAAGACTCATTAGAAGCTATTAGATTTATAAAGATACATTTAAAGTAATTTTTGTTTAATGATCATTACTTTTCTTTTTCATGCTTTGACCAAATAACTTTTTTCCCCCACAGCAAAGCTACTTTACAATAAGTGATCTTTTATCTGACTGTGTGTATGAGCTCAAATTACATGCAGTCAATTTTATGGGGAAGATGGATGAGGGGCGCACTGAGATCTTTACAACCCCCCCTTGCCTTGCCACAAAGGGAAGCATTGTCAATCAGACTTGTCTCTCAGAAGGTATGGAGCTCTTTTCACTACTTTGATGTGTCATTAAAACTTGTTCTTTATGTGTGTAAGGATGCAACTGTTTTGCATGATTTTTGCTCACATGAAACTTGGCATCAAGGTTGTCAAGTGTTTATTTCCACTCTACACTGACAGGGAATACATCAACTACCATGCATACTATCCCATAAAGGAATTATATTATATAATTATATTATATAATTCTAAACACATACTCTGCTGAATGTAATAGAATTACTTACTTGCAGGTGTCATGAGGAAATAAGCAATATTTTGTACCTGTTAGTTTTGATTGTTACTTTTAATAACATAATTTTGTATTTTTAAAATTATATTGTTTCACCTATTTGTTTTTGTTTTGTTTTCAGTCACACCCCTTTTACCGCCATTTGGTTTGAATGTATTTTTCAAGCGCAAGTTAACTTGTATTTGTCAGGCCTTTGTGTTCTGGCAGCATCCAGTAGATCAGGAGAGTAGAATCAGCCAGTTCATAGTGCTCTGGGGCCCAAGCAGGCCTCCGTCTAGTCATAATTTTGGTGCCTCATCTATTGTGTACAATTCTTCACCATACAAAATCTATGTACCTGGGGTAGGCAAAGCACTATGCTTCCTTTTTTAATTTATTTTATTTTTAGAGTGAATTTTTTGTTAAATCACATTAAGATGTTAAAGTTTAACTCTTTCGATGCGGAACAACGCACACTGCGTTCTTCCGCCGTTCTCAAAAGCACGGACCAACGCACTGTGCGTTGTTTCAATATCATGTTTCTTTCTTTGCTATTTCTCGGTTAAACTTTTTAAGAGCTATTTTTAAATAAGACTTTTACATAGAAGAGTGGTACTTCATTGTTTACAATCGAAACCAAGGCTTATTTATTGTCAATTGAAGCATTTTTTTTTTTTTTTTTTTTTTTTTTTTTTTTTTTTTTTTTTTTTTTTTTTTTTTTTTTTTTTTTTTTTTTTTTTTTTTTTTTTTTTTTTTTTACTGTTGCTATGGCTACCCTAGGCTCTAGTAGGTAAGTTTCCTAGATGATTAACAGTTAAAAAAGCTTTGAAATTGTTTTATAATATTTCTTTTGACAGCAAAGATGATTTATATTTAGATGCATCGCATGATTCCGATGGTAGTAGTTTTAGAGTAATTGAGTTATAGAATTGAAGATGAGGTATGCGTACATCGTTGGGTTTGGGGAAAAATGGTTTAGCATAAAATGTTTTCACATTTTATGGTTCTTTCGTGTAACTTATGTTTTTTAAACTGTAGAAACTAGTGTACAAATATATAGTCCTTTCAATTACCTTTCATTTGATACTAAGTTTAGTCTCATAAACCAAAGAATAATATTTTAAATATTTTTTAATAAACCCAACCTCTCACTCTTTTTCCGCTCTTTGAAAAAATGTACATTTTTTCGATGAAAAAATTCCGCAGCAAAAGAGTTAACTGAAAGAGATTTTGTTTTTTAAAATAATGTTGCTTTCATAATTCATTTACTTAGCCAAATTTATAAGTCCTTTAATTTATATTGTAAAAAAACTTAAATTTTGTTCAGGCATGTGAGTTAGAAATTTTTCACAAAGATTAACATGAAAAATAGGAATAACTGTGTAGTAATAGTTGGGGAACATGTAGACTAATATATTTACATGGGCCGCTACCATTTTTGTAATCTTATGTTAGTGCTTGTGTATATTTAATAAATCATGAGCTATCACTTTAATTTTTTTATAGTCTTTAACTTGAGTAAAACCCCATCGCCTAACTTCACCAGCTCTTTCCCTTTACTCCTTCTGCTCTATCCAACTTCCCAGAGTAAAATGTTAACGTTTTTCATTTGTGTTTCAGAATGACTCTCGTGCTTGCATGTCATATTTGGAGCGTTCTAAACACTACACAGTCCAGATAATTTCCCAAGGGTCTAAGTTAAAGAGTGTTCCAGCAGTGTTTCATTACACAACACCAGATGACATTGCTCCATGTTATGATGCTCCAAAGCAAAACAATCTTAAAGGTATCAGGAGAACCAATATTCTAGGCATGGCTGCCTATGCCCTAGTGTAAACTAGTACAAAAATCTTCAAAAATATACTTCAGCGTTTTGCTCTTCAAAACAGTGTTATTTATTTACTGATAGATAGATATCTTTGAATTAGATGTACATTTTAAATGGTCACCTATTTTTTAGGGTAATTAATAATCACTTATGATTAGTAACAAGTAATGATGCAAAAGTGGTATTCAAATGACAGCTGTATTGAGAGATTTATTCATACAAAAATACATGGCTTTTTAAATCTGAATATGACTAAGAGTATTTATAAATCTAAGTAACTATAAATAATCATATACACCAATCAAATATTTTAATACAATTATATGCAACAGTAAATTCTAATGTCAAATTTACATGTTGTTTTCTCGAGCTTGATTGTTTAAAAAAAAAAATTTTAAATAAATATATTATATATCCAATCAACTAGTTTCTTTTTATTCTGTTAGATCCGATCGCTGCAATTGATCCAGGCTTTTTAGGCTCCATTGATACCCAAGTAAGAGAATTATCCAACACAACAGAAGCAGTGATGGAGAAAGTCAACAATGATCATCCGTCTAGAACCAGCTCACAAACCCTCATGATTTTATGCCTTGTAACTTTTATGGTTACAAAATGAGTATGTAGTGATGGGACTTGGTTATTTTCTTTAGTTATTGATGACTGAACAGATAAGTTTCATTTGACCAGCTTGTATCTAGCGCCACATGAGCAATGTTCAAACTGTCAGAGGGGACTACTCTGAGACACATCCTTACCTTTTGCCTCACATTCTCAAGAGCAGAAATTTTGTAATCAGCTTCCACTAGTGGGGCATATAAATCTAATGAATTGTAAATAATCTTTGATAGACCTCTTTGGGCAAGTAGTCAATATTTCAAAGTTTTAGGTGAAAACTAAAAGACTTGTTAAGAATTTCAAGTGATGTTACTTGAAGTTATTAAAAAATGGATATTTAAAGTTGTTTCACTGAAAGGCAAAAAATAGACAAGATACGCACTCTCCACTTAAAGGTGAATTTCTCACTTAAGTAGTCTACTCAGTTCTACTATGAAGTTCTCTTTCACAAAACGCTCATAATCCGAAGTATTAATGAAAGCTTTTACACTTCGATTAAGTTGTTGTTTTTTTTTTCAACATATTTACTTGCTACTACCCACACACATTTCTTTCTGTCCCTTTTAAAAGGGTAAATGTGTTTGTAAGAAAATGTTTGTACACAAAGCAACTGTGTAAGGGGTGTTTACTGTGTTAGAGGTTATTTTGGGTAGAAATTTATTTCTGTGCTAAGAGATCTTTGTCACTATAAATATATTGCTCATAAACCCAAGCAAACCTAATGTTAGTTACCAAGCTTTTTACCTCAGGATGTAAAAGTTATGAATTCTGCTATGTGAAAATGAGACAATGGGTTCATGTTAAAATTTATTTTAAGCAATTGCTTAAGTATTAATTGCTTTTAGCCCAACCAAAGATGTCATAATGTGAGATGAGGACAGTTGAATGAATACATGTTTTATCATTATTTATAATGCTTTTTTTTTTTGTCTGGAGTTTTACAAAAGTGTACATGATGGTTTTTAAATTTGAATCTAGGGACTAATTTCTGTAAAAAAAAAAATTAACTCATTTTTATCTTCAGATTTGCCTTTGTTTTATAGATATGGCAAGGCCATCAAGCAAACAATAGCCATGGTTTGGTTGGGTGGGGGCTTATAAAGACTTCAGTTGTTTCAGAAATTAAATAAATGACCATTTCAAGTTTCTGTTAGCCATAATTGTTCATTTTATAGCAATAATTTGCTTTCATTTACACTATTTTTTTTTAAAATTATGTTTATTAATTGGAGAAATTCTACAATCACTGAACTGGTAAAGTTTACAAGCTGTGCACATATTCTGAACCATGTCATTTTTCATCTATCCATTGCCCTTGAAGAAAAGTATATATTGTGCCATATGTTAAAATGGATCTGCATATTTTTAACACAAGTATTTTTAATTGTAAATAAATATTATGAGACTTCTTTTGATGGTCATTTCAGTTCTGTTATATATTTTTATTACTATTATTATACGACTTTGAGCATTCTATTGAAAGTGTTCATTTAATAGATAACTTTCCTAAGTACCTGTTGTAGTAAATTGTGTTGAAAAACTGTAAAGTGCCTTCCTGTACTTGACAAGTGAACTGTAGCCCTCCTGGCTACAGCTATGTTCACGCCTTAGTGTTTGTCCCACAGAAATATCTTTGCAAGATATTAGACTTTTTGTTATTGTATAATATAGGGCTATACTTGAGTACCTTAGTTTTTGTCCTACAGTAGAATACTGGAAAGTTGTTTATAGAGGGCTGTATGTACACCAATGTTCAGTACTGCTGGTGTGTTGTTGTTGTTGTTGGATGTGGTATTTTATTTGATGATGTCGGTAGCATAGTAACATTTCATTTTATATACGTTTTTTTATGCTATCAAACTTTAAAAAGTGAGATATAGAAGGGGAAAAAATCATTTCAAATCACAAGCATGGACAAAATTTGGAGTACATGCCTTTAGATATTCGAATGAATTTAACTTTAAGTTAAGTACTGTTGTTACCCTATCTACAAATGTCTATATATAAATTCTGCACTCAAGCAGTTCTTGTATTCATAGTATATTTATCCAAATGCTCAGGCAGATATCTCATCATTTATTTTTTTGTAATATTTCTTTTTTACAATTGTTTATATCATACCTGTAATGCACATTTATTTAATGTAGTTAAGTGAATAATTATTATGCTTGTATAACATGTGAAAAACTTTGTGAAATAATCTAATTAAGTTACTAATCTATGTGATAAAGATTGAGCATGCTTAACATGTGATTGAGTAGAACAAATAATGGCCACTATTGAAGATCATGTTCATTTTAATTTTTAAAAACCAACATTCCAAGACTACTTTAATTTCCCTTTACTTAAACCAGAAGGGAAAACATAACCAAATATTTATCTTGGCATCTAAATATTTCTTTCTTTACCGTTATAGGCGTCAATCCAGTTGTTTTTTTTTTACTTCACGCCAGTTTTCTAATTAAGAAAAAAAAGTAAAAAGCAAATCTGAAGAAACTAAGTAATCCTATATTTAAATACCTAGTTTTTTAAATTCTTAATTAATGTCGCCCATTCCATCATTTTGCTACTATCGATGATTTGTTGGTTTCATTACTACTTTGAGTTGTTCTGTTGCACAATCTCTTGGCCTCTCTAAGAAAGTTCATGGTTATCTTGCTGCATGTATTTAGCAATGCAATGTTGTTAACATCATTGCTGTTCTATGCAGGCAGTTTTGTTTCCTTTTTTTAATGTGATACTTAAGCCTAATACTTAACTTACTGATTTGTGCGAGGAAAGCACCTTCATTTGTCCTGTGCCAGGAAAGCACCTTCATTTGTCCTGTGCCAGGAAGCACCTTCATTTGTCCTGTGCCAGGAAAGCACCTTCATTTGTCCTGTGCCAGGAAAGCACCTTCATTTGTCCTGTGCCAGGAAGCACCTTCATTTGACCTGTGCCAGGAAAG